GAGAAAAGAAATTAAAACTATCCGCAACACTAGACTTTCCACACTTTCACTTCATTCGATTATGATTCGACGTGAAAGGTACTCATCATCGGGTTTGGTTTTGGGGAGACACAAATGGGTGTCTACAGTAAGATGTCGGGTTTCCCTATTTTGTATTATTTTACCTTTATTCCGGCTCCTTCGTGGAGTCGTGAGACGCTACCTCCAAGGGTGGATTTGAATCCAGATGAGGGAACGTGGTAAGAATGTATGGAATGCAAGGGGAGTGGTGCATGTTAGAGTTTTCTACACTTAGCATGATTTATCCTTCAATCAACCATTGGCATCCCCATGCGTGTTTACTTTCACTATTAAGAAAGTTTGGTATCCACTTATGCTTGTTGCCTATAAAAGCTTGATTTGATTATGATTTTCATGTGCTTGATGATCCTTATTCTTGTCTTCTCCTTTTTTTTTGTCTTGGACACGATTTTGTAAGAGTTGTTGGAAAGCTCTTTGGAAACCCACACAAGATCACAACTCGTCCTCATTGGCGACCGTGAGGTTTAAATGGCTTGTTGCTTTCTCTAAAAGAAAAGTCGGTTATTCTTTGTTAATTTGTATTGTCTAGCCTTCTTCGCTTGAGGACAAGCGAGAAGCAAGTGTGGGGGAAGTTGATGAGTGGTACTTATGCCACGATTAATAGTTCATTCTAACAAGTTTTACCCATACTTGTAGCTTGTTTGTACCCCTTTTAATTATCTTTAGTTCTCTTTTCTTTTGTCTGTCTTTTTCCTATTTTTACCTCCTTTGGGTATTTTCTAGTTTGGCTTTCTTGTTTTTGTTTTGTAGTAACCATGGTGCTGAAAGAAGGAAACTTTGAACCAAGTACTCAATTGTCGCGCGCGAGCTGGAGAGGCTGCGCATTGATAGTGCGCGGGCGCACATAATGGTGAGAAGGCGTCCATAAGGAGGAATTCAAGGAGTCAAGCAGGTTATTCTGTGCGACTGCTGCGCGGCCACCTGCGCGGGCGCACAACACTTATCGTGCAGGCGCGCAATCCTGTCAGAATCCGCAGCCAAGCTTAAGAAACACAACCAAAGCAGAAAGTTTGCGCGATCTCTGTGCGGGCGTGCAACCTTCTGTGCGGGCGTGCATTCAAGGGGTTCTTTTCTCCGTAGCCACAATGTTGCGGGCGCGCAAGATTCAGAGAGGGCGCACATTACACTTGCGCGGGCGCGCGGAATTCGTGTGCGGGCACGCACCGCTGGGTTTCTGATTTTTCTCCGCCTTGTTGCTCAAGTTTCTTTCTTTTTAGGAGCACATATATATAGTCCGTACTCTCTTTTGGAGAAGGTAATGGTATTAGCTTAATTCTAATCTTCTGATTTTTAGCTTAATCTAGAGAGAGAAACACCATTAGTTTTGGCATTTTAGAGAGAGAAAGTGTGGATTACTCCATTGTTGAGCTTGAAATTTGAAGAAGAAGCTTAATCAACCTCTTTGTAAAACTTCAAATTCAATGAATGAACATTTCCTTACTCTTTTTTCTTTACTTTTCTTTTTGATTTTGTATCAAATTGCTTTTGTTCAGTTAATTACTCATTAATCATGCTTTTGCTTATTAATATCATGATTGAATTGATGATTGCCATGGATAGTGAGTAGTTGCTTAGCCAAGGGTATGGAGATGATGTAGTTGGAGTTTGTTCATGCTTACAGTGATGGGACTTAAGTTGATTGTGATTAAAGCCTTTACATGCTTGATTGTTCTTTGATCTTCTTGCAAAGTGCACATTCTTATTTGATTAAAGGCGAATCTTTGCTACATGAAACGGAAGTTAATTTAGCTAAGTTCACTTCTATCGATTGTTACTTGATTTTACCTCTCAATATATGGTTCTAATGTGGAAGCATAGAGGCTATGTTAGGAGAATCCAATTAGGAGAAGCCAATTAACTCCGAAAGTTGACTAGATTGGACTTTTCTATATCGATATTCATGCAAGTTTAGTTCACTATCGATTTGTTTCTATGCTATTTCATGTTAAAGTGAAGCTTACATCTACCCATTCCCCTTGGTGTTTTCTTTATATTGTCTTAAATTAAATTTTCTCTTAGTTTAATCTATTAGATGATCCCACTCTTTGTTCTGAGATAGCTTAAGTGATTAGTAGTGATTACGGTGTTTAACTTCTCCTTGTGGTTCGACCCTTTGCTTACATTATACTTGTATTGGGTTTGTTTAGGTTTTATAAATTGTATTTCATTAAGGGATAGACAATTTGACGACGTGTTTATTTCCTTTGTCACTTCCGTGTTTTAATAAGTGTTAACATTTTGACCGCACATAGTTTTAGACAATTTAATTAACCTAAATAAAATAAGTGCTAAGTGGGGTAGTTGGAATATTAAAAAATTGTAAAAGAAAGATAGTGGAGTTAATATTTTATTGAAAAGTAATGAATGTGAGAGGAAGGAAATAATAAAAAAGTAATATTGGGTTTGGGTGGGGACCATGAAAGCAGAGAGATATAATATTAAAATGTAGTTTTTTTGCCAAAAAAAAGTATAACACTTATTAAAACATGACCGAATTTGGTAATTGTAACACTTATTAAAACACAGAGGGAGTAACTTGTTTAGAAGGTGACTTGCATGTGTCACCTTTTGATTGGTACAATTTTAATTTTTTAAATTAAAAAATAATAATAATCTTACCTTCACAACTCCCCACCATCGCATCAGACACCACCTCACCACCTCTTTCCCTTTCTCGATTTCCCTGCATTGCAACCTCAATCCCGACCTCCCTACCCACCATAACCCTCTTCAGCTCATCCCTTGTCATCGACTCCTCCACCATCAAGGTTTCATCGGATCTTTTAAGGTTTGGGTTTTTGTCAGTGTTTTGGGCTTAAGATTTCATTTTAGGGATTTCAAGGTTTGAGTTTTGTTTTCTACTTTTGAATTTTATTCTGGGTTTGGGTTTAATATTGGGGTTGGTGATGCTCAATGGGGTGGGTTTTGTGGGTAATTTAGGGGTTTTGTGGGTGGTTGGGTTTAAGGGGTTCGCAAGTGGTTGGGTTTAGGTGCAGTTGTGGTGGTCGCTTTTCGGGTAAGGGGTGGCAGGATTTAGGGGTTAGTGGGTTTTTGGTTAAGGGGTGGTTGGATTCAGGGATTGGGGGGTTTCAAGGTGGTAATTAAAGTTGTGCGGTGGTGGCTATGATAGAAGGTTGTGTGGTGATGGCTAGGGATGAAGGTTGTGGGGTGGTGGCCATGGAAGAAGCTTGAAGAATAGAGACTTAAGATTGAAGAAGAGAATTTTAAAAAAATCACCTGTTTAACTGGAGGTACGTCAAAAAGCATGTTTTAAGAATATAGGAGTTAAATGTGAGATTGTTTTCATATTTTTAAAAGTGTGGTTATTTTGAACAGAAAACACAAAAGTATGATTATTAGTTTTCAATTTTCATAAAAATAATCCATAGTTGAAAATATTTTAAGCGTAAAGTAGAGATTATTTTTAATAATTTTTTAAAAAATAAAATAAAAGTAGCTCCTGCATGGCTTCATCTAGGGCTGGGAAACAGGTCGGGTCGGGTTCAGGTCGACCTGTTTAGATAAACAGGTCAGGACCCCCCAACCCGAACCCGACCTGTTTACTTAAACAGGTCAAAAAAGTCAACCTGAACCCGACCTGGTTTTAAACGGGTTGACCTGAACCCGACCCGTCTAAACCTGTTTTTTAATTAATTTATTTATTTTTTATTTAAATAACCTTGTAATTTGTTTACCCTGTATTTTTTTAAAATATAACTATATCATTCAACTAACATAAAATACAAATTCAAAGCAAACATAATTCCATAATAAGTGTTGTTATATAGTTCATACAATCATACAACAATAAAATTAAATATGTTTAATTGGCTGGGTATTATCAAATAAATAATTAAGCAATAAAAGCAAAACAAGTGATGCTGCATTCTCCATAGTTTAGTATCTTCATCATCTAATTCGGATTCGCAAGTTCAATGGGTTCAGGAGGAATAGGCTTGTCAGCTATATGTTCATTAAGAATAATTAAATAAATAATTAAGCCAAATGCAGAGAGAAATAAATCACAAAAAATGCAATAATTAGCCAACAACATTCATGCCTACCAAGTTTTCAACTCATGATGAAAAAATCAACTCATAAACAAGCTGAAATATTCTCATAAACTCATGAAAAAATAAAATTAAAACGCATAAATAGATGATAAAAAATCAAATAAAATCGCATAATCAAAGTGATGAAAAAATAGCATAAAATAAACTCATAAATAAACAAACTTCGATCAGATTAAAATACGTAAATTGAAGAAATTGAAGAAACAAAACACATAATAACATGTAAATTACATAAATTGAAGAAAAAAAACGTATAAAAACACAACAAAATTAAGTAAAGATAATGTTCAGATGAAGATTTAACGAGCTTCAATCAATAGTTTCAATGGAAAAGAGTTGAAAACAAGAGAGAGGAGAGAGAGAGAGAGAATGAGTAAAGAGTGAATGAAAATGAAAGAGGAGTGAAAACGGCGTGAGGTAAGAAATTTTTTTAGGGTTTTTTCATTTTGTTTCAATAGATAGTTTGGGCTTGGCCCATATTTAAAAATTAGGATGAAAAAATAGGTTAGGAAACAAGTTTAGGCGGGTTGGGTTTCGGTTGACCCGACCTGAAACTGACCCAATTAATTAAATGGGTTTAGACGGGTTGGTTTCAGGTTGGGATTTCCAACCTGAACCCGACCTGTCTAACTTCGGGTCGGGTTCGGGTTGACCTAATTACATAAATGGGTTGAAAATTTCCCTCAAAACCCATTTAATTCGGGTTGGGTTTGGGTCGGATCAGCTTTTTCCAGCCCTAGCTTCAGCCATGCACGTATGCAGCTACATTCCTTCCTCAACCTATCCTACCACATTATCATAAACTACTTTAATTTAATTTTACCCACCTACGTGAGACATGATGTATTTCTCGGAAAAAAATCTTTTTCTCTCTCCTTCATTAAATTAGACAGCTCGAATATACAACTGTCCCCACCAGACTGTCACTGTCCCCACATATAATGGGACCGACAAGCCACGTGGAGTTAATCTCAACCATTAAAAAAGCCTTTCCATCAAAAATAATCAAACGTCGTTGATTCCTTTCTACCCTTAAACGACGTCGCACCTGGCGGGCATTGTTGTCGTAACCCCGGGACTGCTGGCGGTGTCAACGACCTCACAAGCGCGAAATTCAATTCTTTGAAAAACGGGTGGGTCTTGACGTCAGCCGCTCCACGACTCGATCCGAGTCGACTCGTCAGATCTTTTTTCAACAACTCGGATATGAGGTCACGTGCGTGAGACTCTGACATGGAAGTAGGAGATTGTGTTGGAAATACCAAGGGCTTTTTCAGTATGTTACGCAGCGTGGCTGCGTTTGACGGTTCAGCAAATGGGGTCCGTCCATAAATCATCTCGTACAGAAAAACTCCAAACGCCCACCAATCAACGGCGTTTCCGTGGGAATTACCTGTAAAAGTGGAGAAAAATGCGGAGATTACGGCGTAGTCTTTTGTATTGATATCAATCACATATAAATACACCATATAAAATAGAATCGACTAAAATTCCTAACAAGATAAATTGACAAAGATACAATATTTCTGTAAAAAGAAAAAATATTAACAAATATAACCAAATCGATTCTAATATTACCAGAAGCGACTTCCGGAGCGATGTACTCATGGGTCCCAACGAAGGAGCAAGACCTAGCGTTAACCGGCTCCGCTACGAAGAGTCGGTTACCGCTTAAGGTTTGGATTTTCTTTGACCGGAACAGCCGGTTATAAGGAATGCATGAAAATAACGGAGTGGTGTTGTTAGTTGAACTTGAAGTGCATGAGTTTTTTTGGGGGGAAGTGTTGGGTGGAGAAGTGTGAGCCGTAGGATGATGGGATGGGGATGAAAAATGAGGGGATTGGACAGCTGGGATGGAATCAGAGCATAGAGAGAGGTCGAAATCAGAGAGCATGATGTGACCGTCTGATCTGACTAAAACGTTCTCGGGTTTTAAGTCTCTGTAAATGATTCCAAGCATGTGGAGATATTCCAACGCTACCAATACTTCTGCTGCGTAGAACCTGAACCATATATATATATATATATGTAACAAACTAATTCAGTGAGTTTGCACCGAGTTTATATTTTAAAATTTAAACTCCACCGAGTAAATAAAACTTTGCAACAATGCAATAAACTTGCACAAGAAGGAACTATTGTCTATAGTAAAAAAAAAAAATAATAATAATAATAAATAAAAAATTGAAACATTAGTTACGAGTAATAATAATAATAAAATAAAATAAAAATAAAAATAACAACAACTCAGTGTTAACAAAGGGTATGTTCCAGTTTACTGAGAACAACTTAACTTAACTGAATTGATTAGAACTCAACTAAATTGAATAGAGGTGAAATGAATTGTTTATGAGAGAAGGAAATTAGAAACTGAATTGAACTGAACTGATTGGAGCTGAAGTGAAATAAATTGAATTGATATTAATTTGAAAAGAACAGGCCCAGGATATATATCGTAGTACATTATACAGTCTATTTTATTACTTTGTGGTGTTTGATTAAAGTTAATATCTCAATTTAAAACGACAATATCTTAAAGATTGACTAGTCTGAGTATTGTATTATACATGTGGTTTCGATGAAAATCAATTATATTTAGAATTTCAATGGGACAAATGACACATCCTTAATTGATTTTGGTACACCCCTATGTGAGAAAAACACTGATTTTGGTACACCCCTATGTAAGAAAAGCACTGATTTTGGTACACCCCTATGAGAAAAGATCATAGAAAAATGTGCCCTCACATGATGGTGAGCCAAAATCAATTTCCGAACACTTTCACTACTAGTCTACTCTACTATACCTTTGTATTTTTTTTAACAATTGAATTTTCATAATGCTAAGTTTTAAGAAGTTTATTGGCTATCGTATTATACATATACATGCATAGTTACATACAATAAGATATAATAAGAAACAAAAACTCTCAAACTCATTCCAACCTCTCGCAAAAACCTTACCCTCCATTCTTGAATATTGGCTTCCATCGATTTTTAACGGTAAAAAGTCTCAATTCTTATTTCTTTACATTTTTTTTAGATTTTATAGTAATGCTTTCTCCTTTGCAAGGAATTTTTCTCCCTCGAAAGATCAAGAAAGGGTTTTTGATTTCCTTCAAAAGACAAGGATTTTTCGACCTCTTTCGAAAGACAAAATTTATCTTGAGGGAGAAGTTTCTTAGTTTTGAATCCATAACATAAGATCTAATGAATTGTCGTGAAATTATTTCGTTGGTGAAAAAATTATCAAATTTTCGAATACAGACAGATGAATCAGAAGGAAAAACAACTCTACGACTACAAATGATCATTAGATTGTTTTTCTAACAAGGCTGTATTTTCCAGCGATATAAGCATAAGATGTTCTTCAGTGCAAGATCTACTCGACTATCGTTGTTTTTATGAAGGAAAATTTTATTTGATTTAATATTTTGTGTCTTTGTTAACGTTGAATCTCTATTGTACATGGCGTATGACTTTTAATTAATGAAATGCTATTAAAAAAAATAGTTACATACAATACATACTACCTTCGTTACATAATAATTACAAATTCGAAATATTTTATGTCTCACAAATAATACCTCAAATTTGCAATTAATATGTAATGGAGGTAGTACATGCGTAGATAGTTACATACTTTGAAATAAGTTTTCAGTTTTTCACATATATAAACTGTCACCATTTGTCAGCTAATATATACTCCCTCCATTACATATTATTCGTAATAAAGTAATATTTTATGTCTTACAAATTATACCCCTTTATTTTGAGTAATATGTAATGAAGGGAGTATTTTATTTGGCACGTATATACTTCTTTATGGGGTTTGAATTTCACATGGGTCAATTCAACCTATTAGCATATTAGACCTTTGAGAAGTGAGAAGTTAGGGTTCCATAGCCCCAAAAGCCCTAAAGTGGCCAAAATTGAACCACATAAATCAAATTATATATATATATATATATATTGTAAAGCAAATAATTAGATATCTAAGCTGATTGAAATAAAAAATTGTGTAAATTAACATTTGTTTTCCAACCAATTTGCTTGAAAAATATAATTAAACATGGGTACTTAGATGCCCAACAACGTCACTACTATATAGGTTTTGAGTTTTGACTAATAATTATGACTTGATTTTTCATTTCATAACAAAAGTGTGAAAAATAAAGGGTGGAGAATAGCAACAAAGTTTTAGTATTTTTTGGATGTCAATCATTTGCGCGTTTTGTTTGCTAAGAGGGGACGAAGAAAGGTGGTAGGACAATTCTTAATAAAAACAAGCTTTGAGGAATGTCGACGTTATTAATTACTCTGGCTTATTTATTGCTATTGATAAAAAAATATAGTAGTTCATTAAATTTTTAGAGAAAAAAACAAAACTCATTTAATTAACACTTGATTTTACAACATCAACAAACAAAATTTCTAAACATCTATTCCGTATAATTTAAAGGCAAAAACTAACAAACGCCCTCAGGGGCATTGGATAAGATAGCTAAAAGTAGAAAGATTTAAAATGAACATTAATTACACCGATTGATGATTGATTTTGTTATGCTTTCCAAAATTAATACTCCCTCCGTCCCCGATTGATAGTCACTTTTGAAAAAAAAATCACGGGAATTAAGAAAATTAAAGAAAGTACATTGAAAAAGTAAATTTACATTAGATATGCAAAAAAGTAGAGAGAAAAAGTAATTAAAGTACATGAAAAAGTAAAATTTACATGGTAACGTTAAATTTGCACAAATATTTTTGGAAATGTTAGAGAATTTTGGTAAAAAAATAATATTAATGGTACTTGAAAAAAACAAATGTGACTAATATTTTGAGTCACCAAAAATGACAAAAATGACTATCAATAAGGGATAGAGGGAGTACAATTTTAGTTAATATTTTAAATGTTTATCCAACGCCCTGGCTCCGGAGGCGTTGATTAAGCTAGTTAAAAGTAGAAAGATTTAAAATAAACATTAATTACACCGATCGACGAGTGATTTTGTCATGCTTTCCCAAATTAATACCATTTTAGTCAATATTTTAAATGCTTATCCAACGTCCCGACGGCATTCGTTAGCAAGATCCTAATTTAAAAAGTCATTTATTTATTCCATTCTCTGTTACCTTTTCTGTTCTATGAGGGTTACATTTGTTATTTTTTACATTATCTTTTAATGGTTACTCTTAAATTTTTTCCAAAATAATTTATCATGCAACCACATCTATTTATTAAAATATTTGCATTCTTTTAGTGTTGCTATTCCTATTTACAAATTTTGTAAACTACAAAAATATTTACATATTCTCAATACAAATGTTACTGTTTTTAAAATTAATTTAATGTTTTAATCATTGACATATTTGATATTTAAGCATTAATTCTTTTTATTAACTTTGTTAACTACCAAACATATATACAGAGTAATCTTCTTTTAGGAACGAACGGAATGAATAACACTTTAAACAAACTATGCTGATGGTAGATTTTACCCTCCAATCATAAAATAAGGCTATGTTTACTTCACTTTAAAAAAAATATTCAGTAAAAATAATTTCAGTTCAATAAAAATAAGTTCAGTTTAGTAACATTAATTTGTGTTCAGTAAAATTCAGTATTCTTAAAGAAGAATTATAATAAATCAGTAAAACTAATTTTAGTTCAGCAAAAATAATTATAGTTCAGTAAAATTAATTTAAGTTCAGTAAAAATAATTTAAATTCGGCAAATATAATTTTGTTTCAATAAAAATAATTTAAATTCAACAAAAATAAAATGAAATGAACGAGACTAAGAGCCTTAACTCTTTTATACTAGTATACCACTTTAGCATTACCAAGGTTGCTATGCATTTATAGACGAAAGGAGATAACAAAATGTAAAAGTGACATAGTAGTAGTACTTATTTGTAGTACTTTTTCTAACAGTATGTAGAAGAGAGTGGTCTGGACTCTGGAGGGAGTTAAGTCAAGAGTAAACATTTAAAATCTTAATAAGGTAATAATTTTAAAGTTACTAAAGTTAATACATTCATAATACCATTACATTATATTTAAATTAAATATGTAGCAATGTTCATCTTATTTTAACTTACTTTTAAGATAAAATAATTTTTTTTTGACAGAAAAATAATAAGTTTAAGTAAACTAAATTCAATAATTTGTACTCCAGAATAAGGTTATTTAGAGCAACATATACCTAAGCTAAGGTTAATTTACAACAAAAAAAAAAGTTCAATTAAATTTCAATAAATATTTCATTTCTTTTTCTTTTGTTCTTTTTTTTATATATATACAGGAATAAGTTGTCCATAATTTTTGGCCCAATATACTTTAGCCATTAAGGCCCAATCGTGAGATTGTGGGCCTGACTCTGATACCATATCATCAATTACGCATTTAAGCAGCACCAGTTACTAGAGAGTGTAAGTCCACCACTTTACAATATTAAGGAAGTTTCACCTCAAAACCATAGGACAATCAGGACAGTAACCCCTTACTCCCTTAGCCTTATATTGTGGTGGTAACTCTTAAATTCTTTCAATGTGGAAATTCTTTACAACTACACTTCCCTTTTATTCCTCATTGCTATATGGTTTTGAGGTAAAATCTCCTTCATCATGGAAAATAAGTAAACTTACACTCTGCCGTCCAAACCCATATTTGATGACAGAAACAGAAAAATGACAGTCAAACATAACATAAAAGAGGAAGAAAATCAACACATATTGAAGAAAATTGACTTAAGAACTAAACCAAAGAAGAAAATTCACAAGGAACTACTTGTTTCCATATAATATCATCTGGCTAGTGGCAGACTCCAAATCGGAGTAAAATCTTTCATTTATAATCCTAAGATAATTTATTTTCATATAAACAAAGAAAAAAAAAAACTTAAAATTATTTTTTGAAATCAGAATATTGCCAAAACAGCAGACATAGCATCAACAGATGAAAAACATCTGAATACTCTTGTCTCCATATACAAACAACAGTTCTGGTCCCAAGAAAAAATTAAATTAAAAAACAAAAAAATAATAATTTAAAAATGAAATTCATCGTCATCTCATCATCAGACAGTAATTGCAATATCTCTGTGGATTTATAATTTCAGAAATTTCTACCAATAAAATAATCCTGAATTTTGCAGCTTTATAGAAAAAAACATCATTATTATTAATTACGAGTAATTATTTAATCCATACATTCCACAAATTTTTAAAATTACAAATTCACCTCAAAAATATCTTAATAAAACTTTAAAAAAAAAAAATTTGCACTGACTTTTTTTCTTCATTACACCGTATTATTGTAGAATTAAGTGAAATCACAACTCGTCAAAAAAAAAAAAAAGTGAAATCACACCGGTCAATCACTATTCGAGGGTATATATATTTTCGGATATTGATTGTATGTTTAAACAATAAATACGGAACGGAATAACAGATAAAAGATAGATGGATATAAAAAAGTTCCCAAATATAAAAATGATGCTAAAAATTATTATGTATTCCGTACCTTGCGGAAGAGAGAGGAAAACGGTGGTAAGGGAGGCTATGACGGAGCGAGTGCAAGTCACCACCAGAGCAATACTCCATAACAATGCAAGAAAAATGAGAAGCGTCAAACTGAGCGTATAACGTAGGCAAAAATGGATGATCAAGCAACTTGAGTATTTTCTTTTCCATTTCCGCTCTTTGTGTTTTATTCTTGATTGCGAGCATCTCTCGATCCACCACCTTCATTGCATATTGGCACGATTTATCGGACCGAAGTTGGCACAAGTATACAGTGCTTATATCCCCAGCACCGACTTTGCGAATGAGTTTGAAGTCGTTAAAGGTTAAAGGACGGTTGTTGGCTGCCGTAGAAGCCGAGATGATGGCTTCGAAGGCAGAATCGGATGAACGATGTGGTTTTAAAAGGGAAAAATTTTCAGGTGATGTGTGGATAAACTCACTACCTGTCATTGAGTAGGAACTACTATTGCTCTTTGATTCGAAATCGTCTGAGAAATAGTTCATCTTAATTGAAATCTATTAGTTAGGGAGAACATGTGTTTAGGTAATAATGATGGGTTTTTGAGTATTTATGAATTTTTTGTGTTTAATTTGTGAATTTGGGGTTGAGAAAGTGTGTTGAAGAAGGGTGCAAAAATGTAGATATAGATTTTTATATATATTTTTAATAGAGTTGTAATATTAGTGAATGAAAAAGGGTGGTTGAGAGTATTTATGCTATGTGTACGTAAGAATGTAAGATGAGAGGATGTGATGGTAAAGATAAAAGAGATTTTTGGTTTGACTATTATACAGGTTTTTATAAATGATGCTTAAGGTACCAATACCATTTAATTACTACAAGTACATTATTTTTTTGATTTTATTTTTTTACCAATTTAAAATAAGGTGGGAGTTTCTGTTTGGTGTAGGAATGGTACGACGGGACTGTGATTTGGCAAAAGCTGTTGTAATTGTAGAACCTTGATATTATCGGTTGAGAACTTGAGAATTCAACCTACGCGGCTGACCTCCTTTCACACAAATATTGTAGGGAAAAAATTGTGACTATGAGTAGAAAATTCAAATAAATAAATAAATATATATATATATATATATATATATATATATATATATATATATATATATATATATATATATATATATATATATATATATATATATATATCTTACTCCCTCCAAAGAAAGGGCGAACTACCTTGTGAGAAAGGGCGATCTACCACCGTTGCTAGTGGTGATCTTCGGCCACTATGGCTGATGAACTAATCGAAAAATACTCTAACCTAAACATGGAAGAGGAGGAAAGCGAGATTGTCGAACTTGGTGCAGTGAATTCTAGCGAACAGGATGCTAGGGTTTCATTGATTTTAGTTGGAAAATTATTGACTGATAGAGGGGTTAATTTGGTGGCTTTCAAACGCACAATGTTACAATCTTGGGTGATGAAGGGGAAAGTGATTAGTAGAGGATTAGGAACGAATCGGTTCGTGTTCCAATTCTTTCATTGGAAGGATATGGAGAAGGTGATGTTAGGGCGACCATGGTGCTTTGAACAAAGCCTATTGATCTTGAACACCATCTCGGCCGATGAACAACCAACTGATGTGAATCTTACCCATTCTCCCTTCTGGGTTTTATTAGAGAACTTGCCTTTTAATTACCGGTCTAATGCACATGTTACAGCAATTGCTGAGAAAATTGGCGAGGTTATTGAAGTCGAGGATGATGATTTGGGGATTGGGAAAAACAGGCGTGTGAGGGTGATGCTTGATGTGAGTAAGCCCCTTCGCAGAATCCAGAATGTGAGAAACAGGGAGGGTGTTGTGAAGATAGGATTGAAATATGAACGCCTTCCGTTCTTCTGCTTTATGTGTGGTGTCATGGGGCATAGCAAGAAGGATTGCATTAATATACCGGAGGATATGCAAAACAGGGGGCAAGGATGGGGAACATGGTTGAAAGCATCACCAATGAGGGGAAAAAAGAATGATACAGAGGAGCTATTTCTCTTAAAGGCGGCGAAGAAGCTTACTTTTGTCACTAAGCATATTCACAAGGAAAAGGAGATAAAAGGGGGTAGTATCGAGACTAGTGTGGAGATCGATGGGGATCATAATAAGGGGGGCAGATTACGACACTAGAGCAGGGAAATAATATGCTTAGTGAGGGTGTGAGTGAAGAGGTAATGGTTGTTCCGAGTGATGGGAATGGGGGGAGGATGTATGAGGGGAGTCAGCAAGGGAGTGGGGCTGGTATATGGGAGGAGGGGTCGAATACTACTATTATGAAGGTTGATAATGTGACAAAGGTGTGTGCTCATGATGATAAAGTAGCGGAGGTTGGCTTGACCCAACCCCGCAAACAACAATGAAAACTTTAGTATGGAACTGCAATGGGCTTGGCAACCCATTGCGTGTGAATGCCCTCCAAGATTTATGTTGGAGGGATCGGACAAACATTGTTTTCTTAATGGAAACAAAAATTGATTCACAAAGACTTGAACTTATTAGAAATAGATGCGGTTTTTCTAATGGGTTATGTATTAGTAGTGAGGGGTGTTATAGTGGTTTGGGGTTGTGGTGGAGAGATATGGCTGTAAATGTACGGTTGTTTTCAGCTCATCACATTGATGGTGAGGTGATTGATAGGCATAATGTACCAATTTGGAGAGCGGTGGGAATTTATGGGTGGCCGGAGGTTTCTAATAAACATCTTACTTGGGATCTCTTGAGAAGCCTAAGTGCTTCATCCACTCTACCTCAATTGATGTTTGGGGACTTTAATGAAATTCTTGGGATGCATGAGAAGGAAGGTGGGACGGTTCGGGGGAACGACAATAGATGCTTTCCGTGAGGCCTTGGATGACAGTGTGTGTCGTGATCTTGGATTTGAAGGCAATATTCATACTTGGCAGAGAGGTGTTTCGATGGAAACCTTGGTGCGAGAGCGTCTTGATCAATATGTTGCTAATGGTGGGTGGTGTGCTATGTTTCCATATTCGGAGGTGTTACATTTTCCCTTATGTTACTCCGATCATGCTCCAATTTTACTGAAATTTGGGGAGGAAGAACTGAACAAGAAGCATGAGAAAATCTTTCGCTTTGAAGCTTTGCGGTTGTCTCGGGAGGAATGTAAACAGGTGGTTTCGGATGCATGGTGTGTCAATGGGAGTGAGCCTATGAGTAGACACCTAAAAATGTCTCCCCAAAACCAAACCCGATGATAAATAACCTTTCACCGCCACTATTGGTCGGGTTTAATATTTAATCCCGAGAGTGCTTAAAAAATCGTATTTTACAAAATTCAAACTTTTGAAAGGTCCATGGATTAGTCTTGATGTTTGGTAAAAGCATAGTTTTAATTTTAGCCCAAGCTTATTAATTAATTTTAAGCCCAAACCTTTTTATTTTATTATTTATTTTTGGCCCAAACATTTTATTTATTTTTATTTTATTATTTTCTTATTTTAGCCCGAATAATAAAAGTCAGAAAAAAGCCCGAAATTATCAATCGGAACTTAAAAAGCCGAAAGAAATTAGGTTAAAAATGAATTTAGACGGAAAAATGTACTGGAAGTGACCGCGTCACGGTACAGTCTGACCCCCTCATTTCTGATGTACGGGGCAAGCAGAATTTTATTATTCTTATTTTCTCTCTTCTATGCTATTAATCTAAACATTAGCCAAGGCGTGAAAGGTAGAATCGTTTGAGGGTTTGGCCCCAAAATCAACCTTATTTTATTTAATTTAATTTAGTTATTGTTTTATTATTTCCTTGAAGTTACTAACTCGTTTATTATTTTGTAGTTGCAAGCAAACAGATTCAAAGTAAGGATCATGCTCTTTTATTATCATTATTATGTTTTCTAACAATTTTATGTTGTTGGGATTGTGATTAAATTGGTATTAATGTTGATTCTATTATTTTTATTGATCACCATATTGCATGTTTAAGGGAATATGTAATTGAAAATCACGCCTAATAAGATAATTTGGACAACCGGTTTAGGTTCCTTTTAATCTTATTATTAATTGAAGTGATCACCAAATTTTAGAATTATGTGTGCATTAATCTTAAACCAATTTAGTTAAAAATAGTTTGGAGCGAATTGAATTATTGTTTGTATGCCTTTGAGATCACAAGAATGCTTTTCAATATAAGAATCGAGTAGAGGCCAATACGGGCGAATGTGACTCCATGACTCACTTCGTACCATCATCCCCGATCCTCCTTTCGTGGTTCCGAACCATATGGAGTTAGTAATCTCATGGATTATGAATGGGGTGTAACCTTCACGGGTCAATCGTAGTTGCCTATCATTGTCCCTTATTCGTGGTTGCCTTTTATGATCCGTGAACGGTTTACAAGTTCCTTAAATACTTGTTGGTGGCTCCCTACTTTATTTGTCCCTAATCGTTGTCCCTAATCGTAATGTCAATTCCCACTTCCTATGAGTGCCAAGCATATTCACCACATGCTTTTAACGTAGGCGCACTTCGAATGACGCCTATAATTTGGCGACTCCACTGGGGAGGATTCTTAATTATTTATCGATTTGAGTGATCTGTATTTAATTAAGATGAGTGGATGAGACTTGAAAGATTCTTGAAAAAATATTCCTGTGATTAATTTTGTATTTTTGCATCTGCATCGACGTTTTAACGTCGCATTCAGGTCTGTCCCGTAGGAAAAATTGGATAACTTGGTTGCGCGCAAAAGCAAACAGGGCACCAGTCAGATTTTCTGACTGCCGTGTCACGGCAGAGTCTGCCGTGTCACGGCAGACCTAAAATCAGTCCGGTGGCTTATTTTCTTTTCTCACAGTCAACTTCCTTCGATTTTTCTGAACAAACGTATGTGTTCTACATGCGTCTTAGCCCCAGGGGATTTAAGCTCTATCGACCCAAAAACCCTCATGGCAATAAGGGTTTATCCGAGTTATTAAATCCACCCAAACCATGGAGTCGAGTTCGATTTCATCACGAACTCGCGGAGCCGCCCGTTGGCATACACCCTCAAGGGAGGCTGCCTTGCTAACGCGTCCAAACTCTTAACCATGGTACCCTTCTGACACCCAAAGCTTGACCAATAGTTGAACATAGATCTTGACTCTAGGTTGCGAACTGTTTTTACATCATCGTGCCTAAATTCTATGTGGTTGTTTGGTTCTAACCCTCATGTGTTTGGTCTTTTTGTTTAACCCATGACCGAGGGTTCTTATTCTCACATGGTAATTAGTACGGATCTAAAATCGGTTAAAATTTGGAAAAATCACAAAACTGACCAGGAACTGCGCACCGTGTCACGGCATGTTCTGCCGCGCTACGGTGAACAGTACCGTGACACGGGGCTGTCTACCGTCTGACGGCAGACTGCACCGTGTCACGACAGTCTGTATCGTGACACGGTGCCCAGAAAAGTGTCTTGTCAGTCCTTTTTTTGATTTTTGTGCGAATGCTGTGTCCAGTTTTGTGTCGTGTCTAGTGTTACGGTCAAAACACGCGTCCATAATCTCACTTAATCACTAACATGTCGTGTTCACACACTTTTTTGCTTAAAGTCGTACACCACTTTTTTGACCGTATTTTAGGGAAGTCTTGTTTTTGTGTTGTCGGATGGTATCCTCCCTTTAAAAATAGAGAAGTAGATTTTCAAAATTATAGTTTTTCAAAATAGGGGAATTGCCGCGACACGGGATACCCTACCGTGTCACGGTACTGTTCACCGTGACACGGTCGGCCTGAGCGGAGAAAATATGACAAAGAAACTCCTGTGACACGGGAATTTATCTCGTCTGACGGGAAAAGTTCCCGTGCCACGTCACCCCCTGTCAAATGTTCCCGTGACACGGGATAGTATCTCGTTTGACGGGAGAAATGTCTCATGCCACGTCACCCCCTGTAAAAAAAAAAAAAAAATATTCCCGTGACACGGGATTTTATCCCGTCTGACGGGAGAAGTTCCCGTGTCAAGGGGAAAAAAAATAATCTGTGCCACGTCAGCATCTACCGTGGCACGGGAATGGCTGCCGCGCCACGGGAAACCCTACCGTGTCATGGCAAA